ATATCTTGGTAAAGCTGATTGACAGAGTATAAAATTGCTTTTTAATCCAATTTAGGAAACAAAATGTGTAGTGGGTTTTAACATTTAAAAATGCTTGAAGCGTGGAAGCAGAAACTCAGAATACCCTGGCAGATTGTCTGTGATATTGTATATCAATGGTATATTTCAGAAATATTATTTCAATATAAGTTGTTTTTGAATTGAGTCATGTTTTGTTCCAAAGCTTTTTTGCATTAGAGTAAGGAGAATGTATTGTGGAAATATGACCCGGAGAAAAATGAGCAGAAACCAGTTTTTAGCAATGTATCTCAGGAATAGAAAGTTTCTAAGAGGTCTCTTTCTTTAACAAAAACCACTGTAGCTGCTCCCACCAAGGTCACTCCCGCCAGGGCCTCCCCAGCTCATCCTATCTCATGTCTCCTGGGCATTTGGTCCCACTGACCACTTTTTCTATCTGAGGTCATCTTGGCTCCTTGCCACCTTCTCCTGGGCCACTCCTGCCTCTCTGAGCACTCGTTGCCTGCAGCGCTTCCTCCCTGCTCACCCTCAGGTTAGTTCTCCTTTCCTGCTTGCAGCCCTCCCAGGAGACCTCATGCGCTGCCACTGCCTCAGCCTCTCCCCGCACACCCAGACCCCTGTCTCCAGCTGCTCTCCCAGGCTCCAGACCTGCACACCTTCACTCCTCACTGCAGGCAGAGAAGTTTGGCAGGCACGACAGCTGCTAAGACTTTTCCTCCTCTGGTGTCTTCATCTTAGCTAATGATCTCACATTATTCTAGTTTCCTAAACTAGAAATGTCACAGTGACCTTTGATTCCTTCTCTTGCCCTCAGATTCAGCCAGGCACCACGTCCAGGGGAAGTCCCCATCCTCGGTTTCATCACCCCTCACTCGGACCATGACAGGAACTTTCTGACTTTGCTAACTTGAATCTCTTCCCTGTCGGGTGCTCCTACACGTGACTTGCCCATTTCTTTCAAAACCACAAGCTGTACCAACTCACTTCCCAATTGCCTACTGCAGAGGTTTTCAAACTGTCTCCCTAGGAGCCATAAGGGTCTTCAGTCTTCTTGTGGGTCCCTCCCCCAAGATCCCCAGAGTTTGGTTTTACGTCACTTGCACGTTCTGTTTGATATTTCCTTTTTTTTCCTTTGAACAAATTTGTTGGTGCCTCAAAGTTTGAAAACCACGGAATAACTCCGGGTGAAGGTCACACTCTGGAGCATAGCATGCAAGGCCTTCTACAACCACTTTTCCTGCTTCACTCCCTCGGAGAGTAGCATAACACCTGAGTTCCGGCGCAGGTTCCATCACATACAACTTGTGCAACCCAGGATGAGCTATTTAACTTCCCAAAGCGTCCATTTTTCCATCTGTAAACTAGGGATAATACTATCAGCTCCCTCACAGAGCTGTAAGGGGTTCCTGAGATAAGAAACTTGACGCACGTTAGTGCTTCATCAGTGTTGGCAATTCCTGTCATGTTAGTACTCAAGCACCTCAAGATTGCAAGCCCAGTGTGTCCTCTGATGCTTTGGTGCCCAGCCTTGCAGTGGCTTCTGCCTCCCCTCATCTTTACAGGTAAACCTTTGTTTATTTAGTGAGACTGACTCATTTTTTCTGTGAAGCTGTCCCAGAGATAATGTTCCCCGTTTGCTTCCTGAGTACTAAGTATAGACCTCTTACTAAGGCAGTCACCATGTTGAATTTTATCGTTTCTTTGTACACGTATGCGTGCGCACACACACACACTCCTACAAAGATTAGGGATTAGCAAGGTAGTTACCTGACCTGATCATGTCCGTGCCCTTCAGGTGAATTGTGGATGCGCCATATCTCTGCCCTTGGGGTTGGCCACTGCTGTATCTGTGCCCTTGGGCTACACTACGGCACTCCCATATCTTTCTTTGGGATATACTGTGAACACACCCATATGTTTTGAATGAAGCAAAGTAACTGATGAATAGGTAAGTGAACCAGCGAGAAACAGTTACCTTGAGAAGAGGACCCCTGAGTGGTACTACAGATCACCAGGCTGAATTTGGCATTTCAGCTTTGCTTTGTGTTTGTCTCCATATTGGTCAGCTGGTGACTCTGCTGGCAGCCAGTTCTCTTCAGCTGAACTGCTACTACTATAAAATTGCTGAAGTATTTTACCTAGAAACAGACTCAATCATCTGTGGGACACACATACACAAGAAATATAACTTACCTCCACAGTAATTTAAATACTTCATTTTTTTGTTTGTTAACAAAAATAGCTACTATTTAGTGAATACTTATGTGCCAGGAACCGTGTGAATGCTTTACAAATATTATCCTATGTAATATTCAAAAGTTAAAACAGCAAGATGGGTACTTTTATTATTCTGTTTTAACAGATGAGCAACCTGAGGTTGACAGAAATTAAATAACTTGTCCAAGGTCTCTTAGCGGAATAGTAGAGACAGGATTCAAACAGTGATGCAAAGGGGCAGAGGGCAGATGAGGGGAGGGGGCCAGGGCCGGGGGACTGTGCATCTCAGGCTTCATCGCAGCGTGGCCTGAGCGAGCCGAGGTTCCTGCGTCATTTTTGTCCTATTCCAGCATGCGTCTTACTGAGTCCAGGGTGTGGACAGCATTGAAACTCAGAATATGTAGCATGTCTTCCAAGTAGCACTAGCTGTATTCTCTGAACCCTTTACTGATGTTTTAAAAACATTTTTTCTGGGCTCACAGCCTCTTTCAGAGCCAGTTGCACCAAAGCACTGTACACATATGAAAAATTGCTCTCTCTGGTTATCTTGTTTGCGTGGTTTGCTGTTTATGTTCTTGATGCAAGTCTAGAAAATAGTTTTGTATTATATATACACACACACACACACACACACGCACATATACATATAGACACAAAAAATATTAAAATGCTTATTATAGAAAACTTGGAAAGCATAGAAAAAGCACAAAAGAAATTAATCTTCCATAAAATTAAATATTTTGCCACCATTCACATTCAATCTGTGACCTTCCAATGCTTTTAATGCCTACATGTACATTTGTATTACCCAAATCATAATCTGTAGGATACACTTGGTCTTTTCCTTCATGATATGTCAGGAACATTTCCTCATGCTAGTAAATATTCTTCTACTACCTGATTTTGGGGAGCAATTTGATAGCTATCATCTAAATGTACTGTTGTTTAATTAATCTGTTCTTTCTCGTTTTGTTTGTTCCTGTATTTTTGCCAGTGATTTTCATATGACATCTGCTGTTGTCGGTATTGAAATCCTAAAAGGGGGTATGGATTTTTTTGGCATTAATGTCTGTGTGAAGGATAACTTTGGGATCATGTTCACTCTAATTATTATAGAATTTTAAGATCTTAACAGAAGAGACTTGAGCAGTCACGTGTGGTAGCCTGTGACAGGGCACATCTCTCCTGACAGGTGAGCTGGCCTCTGCTCGCAGACCTCCATAAGTAGGCACTACTCAGCTCTTCTTTGCCTGTTCTAACGTTATATGTTCCCATCTTGGGCATAGGAACTAGATTCTGACACAAATAGATTTTGAAAAGTTCCTTCCGAAACCTTTAGAAGCCTCGCTTCAAGATCAATGTGATTTGAGAATCTGGGAAGGAAGTTAGAGGCAGGATGGCAAGCAAGATAGCGCGGGATGCTGGCTTAGCGAATAGAAGCCAAGTAACTATTGCAGACAGGCAGGGAGTGTTCTCTGATTTGCAAGCTGCAGTTATTCTAATTGATTTCTGCATACTTGTGGATAGGGATCTGCCCTCTTCCATTTATTTTTCTCTCAACAAGTAAGATGTGAAATGTTGCTCCATGCCTTTCTAATTTAAATGTTGCACATGTTGAGAACCGATCTTGCCAGCCATTTTAAGCCTGGCCAGAAACCTAACACATTGTTGTTATTAGCCTTCATTATTTGGTTAGAGCCAACATTTTGTTTGGAACTATGCTGCAGTATAAATCTCCTTTATAGACATAACCTATTTCTGCCATAAAGTAGATGCGATGAGAAGGCAGCTGAGTTTCCTTGGTGAGTTGCTCTAGTTAGTCTCACGAGGCTGCTGAGGCCAGGGGATGCTCATTTTGAGAGAGTTCTTGGGAAATGAGATTCATGTTCTTGAGGGCTTATAATTGAGCTGAGGAGAAGGACACATGGATAGCTAATCTAAGGTGGTTTGTGAAAAGTACACATGTACAAAGATCAGAGGGAGCTTAGGGGAGAAACAGAGCATTACCTCACGGCTCACACTGGGTGGCTGTGGACGACGTCCTTGAAGCCATATGCACCACGTTCGGTCTGCAGGCTGAGTAAAGCATCTGTCTCACACACGTGCACTATTGCTTTCCAAATATTATGTAGATGCCCTGGTGGCCTACAATACTTTTGAACGAATTCTTGTATCATTACTATTTATTGTATAACTATTTGCCATACTGTGTATTTTTGATCAGTAGAGTCTACACTTACAGTTTCTATCATGGGCATCTGTGAAATTTTTTCATGTTAAAAATTGTTTCCGCTACTTCAGGGTTAGAAACTTCCATTGTCTGAAGCAGTGCTGTCCACTAGGACCTTCTGTGATCATAGAAATGTCTCTGCATTGTCCAGTAGGGTAGTCATTAACTCCATATAGCACTCGAGGACTTGAAATACGACTAGTGGGACTGAGGAACTGAATTTTTAATTTTATTTGATTTTAATTGATTTAAATTTAAATAGACACACATTAAATAGAGGCTACCATATTGGACAACACAGATCTAACATATCCCTTTGTAGATAATTTTCTAAAAATCCTCCCTCTTTCCCCAAGTTTCCTCTGCCACGCCCCTTCCTAGTTTGTTTAGACTTTTACCCACATGTGGGTGGCTGCCAGGCCCACGTCTTCTCAGGTGCTCCGATTCCTGAACGTTCCTTAGCCCAAGAGAAGAGTTCTCTCACAGATGTGACTTTGAAAGCCTTTCCTAAATCATAAGAATGAAAAGGAATGGTGTGCTCGCTTTGGCAGCACATATACTAAAACTGGAATGATACAGAGAAGATTAGCATGGCCCCTGCACAAGGATGAAATGCAAATTCCTGGACCATTCCATATTTTTGAGGGTGTGAAGAAAAGGGAACCCTCTTGCACTGTTGGTGGGAATGTAAATTGATACAGCCACTATGGAGAACAGTATGGAGGTTCCCTAAAAAACTAAAAATAGAACTACCATATGACCCAGCAATCCCACTACTGGACATATACCCTGAGAAAACCATAACTCAAGAAGAGTCATGTACCACAATGTTCATTGCAGCTCTATTTACAATAGCCAGGACATGGAAGCAACCTAAATGTCCATTGACAGATGACATGGAAGCAACCTAAGTGTCCATGAACAGATGAATGGATAAAAGATGTGGCACATATATACAATGGAATATTACTCAGCCATAAAAGGAAACGAAACTGACTTATTTCTGGTGAGGTGGATGGACATAGAGTCTGTCATACAGAGTGAAGTAAGTCAGAAAGAGAAAAACAAATACTGTATCCTAATGTACATATATGGAATCTAAGAAATACGGTACTGATGAACCTAGTGGCAGGGCAGGAATAAAGACACAGGTGAAGAGAATGGGCTTGAGGACACAGCGGGGGAAGGGGAAGCTAGGACAAAGTGAGAGAGTGGCATTGAAATATATACACTACCAAACATAAAATAGATAGCTAGGGGGAAGCAGCCGCATAGCATAGGGAGATCTGCTCGGTGCATTGTGACCACCTAGAGGGGTGGGATAGGGAGGGTGGGAGGGAGACGCAAGAGGGAGGGCATATGGGGATACATGTATACATATAGCTGATTCACTTTGTTGTATAGCAGAAACTAATACAACATTGTAAAGCAATTATACTCCAATAAAGATATATATAAAAAAAGTTGACTATTTGGTAGGCTATAAATAATTATTAGAAACTCAGAAGCCAAAATCTTATTCTAGGGCACTCATTAAGCAAGAAATTTTCCCTTTCCTTTGTTCTCCTGATGATTATTTTAAAAAATTAATAGATTTCACAGTATTTTACAAGTTATGACTCTTGGGGCCATCTAAAATCATCATGGGCAGTAGCAGAAGCCATGACATAATGGCTTCTATTAAGGTAAAATCACGAGACGATGTATCTCTGAACATAAAATTCTCCTTTATATTTATATATTTATTATATCAATAGATACAGTGCTAGTTGGATTACTACGTAATTCAAAATCGTTATTTTTTCCAAAAGATTTTTGTCATTCACTGTTTTAAAACAAGATGAAAGAAGGCAGTAACATGTAGAATTCAAAAAAGCACGTGAACTCATGCTTGAGGACCTCCCATCAAAATAATGAACACCAGGGCTTCCCTGGTGGCGCAGTGGTTGAGAGTCCACCTGCCAATGCAGGGGACATGGGTTCGTGCCTCGGTCCGGGGGGATCCCACATGCCACCGAGCGGCTGGGCCCGTGAGCCGTGGCCGCTGAGCCTGCGCGTCCGGAGCCTGTGCTCCGCAACGGGAGAGGCCACGGCAGTGAGAGGCCCATGTACTGCAAAAAAATAATAATAATGATGAACACCTTTCATGGACCAGCCTGGGAAGAGGTCTTACTATCGAGGAGGGCCTTCAAGCCCACCGGCTCCGCAGGTGTGAGGGCTGCACGGGGTGGGCTCTCATTTCCTGCTCTTCCTGCTTTGAGGCCTAAGGCTTGGAGCTTTCTTCAGATAATCAGACCCAGAGCAAGGAAAGTTTCATTTGCTGAACCAAGAGGCCAGAATGTGTCCACCCGGCTCTTGCTGGGCGGTGCGCCCCGATGCCAAGCGTGCCAACAGGAGAGGAAGCTTAAAGGCCACTGCACCCCACGTGCCCAGTGTATGAACCCACAGCAAGATGAGAGTGAAACATTGATGGGTGTCTTGTGACCTCCGTTCTGTGGATCCGGATTCTTCCACTCTTCCCCCTCTTTCATAAATTTAAAATTGTTGGACATCTCTTCTCATAGCACCTCCTTTCGCTGTATTTGTGCTGTTTTCATGAAACACGTACCTCTGTGGTCTGCTAATCTCCATTTTACAGGAGATGACTGGGTTGTTGTGACAGTGGTTGGTGGTGGCGGGGTGTGTGTGTATGTGTGTGTGTGTGTGTGTGTGTGTGTGTGTGTGTTGGGAACGAATCCGGAGGGGAGGTGGTGAAGAGTGGAGCTCGGGGAACGCCAGCTGGCAAAGACAAGTGAGCATCTGCAAATATAAAATACCGGCCTGAATTTGCTTCCCTTTCTATTCTATAGTAAACACGAAAGAGTACAAAGGGAAACTTAGTCTGCTGTGAGCCCCCAGGAAGAATATCCATTCTTGCCCTGCGCTCCTGAGACCCCTGCAGTGTTTCGGAAAGGAGCCGAAAGAACAGTGTGGTTTGGGGTCTGTACTGCTCCCCTCCCTTGGGTCTTCCTGTGCCCAGGCTGCCACCCCTCTTCCTCCAGCACCTGAGCAGCTACGGGTGACCCTTTCTGCAGGGCTAGGGCCTTCTGCTTGATAGATCTGTGAATCATCCTCAGGTCTCTCCAGTGTGGTTGGTTTAGTCATATGAAACTTCTTAACCTTCATGTGTTTGTTTCATGTATTTTCATTCTGGTTACAAGATTATACCAACTTATTGTGGCTTCTAAATTTTCCTTTTTGCTGTTTGAGTCTGTATATGTATATATATATTTCTTTGATTAGAATATCTTAGCCTGAAAGCCTCTGATGTTCACTGTAGGAAACTGGTACAAGGCTAATTACCTGCCAGGAAACTTTGGATTGCTGGATGTTTCAGTAATTGCCTTCAAATGTAGTGATGAGGTTGCAGGTTTGATGAAATGCTTACGAGCGGCGGCTTTAGGGAAATCAACCTCTCCATTTTCCATTCTGAATTCCAAATTACTGTGTATTAACACATCTGTCTCCTGCCTTTTTTTTTATTTCAGTACCTACTAGAAATGAAAAGCTTAATCCTGCCCCCAGAACATATCCTGAAGAGAGGGGACAGTGAAGCAATAGCATATGCGTTCTTTCATCTGGCACACTGGAAGAGGGTAGAAGGGGCTTTGAATCTTCTGCATTGTACGTGGGAAGGCAGTAAGTAATTTTCTTTCTTTGAAATGTTTTTAAAGCATGAAAAGATGCTAAAACTGTTTTTACCCTGAGTGTTCACGGTGAGTGATGGAGATTTGCATATCTATAGCTCTCCTTCTCTGTGATATTCTATCACCAAGAGATGGTTAATTACTCAGGCTCTCTAGTTTCCCAGTGGTGGCGGGTGTTACTGTGGTGATCCCATCTCTGCAGCTCAAAAAGGCAAGTTTATACAGTGGATGGGGTGAGTCTGGGCTATCCTGGCAGAGGAGCATTTTACAGCTGGAAAACCCTCTTTGGAGACCTGGACAGCCCCTCGGCACCATGGGAACCTTTGGCGTGGGGTCAGGCCTCGTGCTGGGCTCTGATGACCACTTCTGGATGGCCTTTCTGGGAGGGTTGGCTGAAGAGCCACAGTTATCCTCCAGGAGAGCTGGGTTAGCCAAACACAAACGAGCAGCGGTTACGCTTGCTTCAGAACAAGAGCAGTGGCCGCTGGACTCCAGTATGGTGGCAGGTGTAGCACTGTGCGTTAAGGGATAAATGCCTGTTAGATGGATGTGGGGATAAACTGATCTGAGCACGAGCTGGGCACCGTCATTCCGTGTAAGGAGAAGCGGCTCCAACAGTGGGTGAGACGTGCTCCCTGCCCTGGAGAAGCATTTCATCCAGTTGGGAGGAGCCATCAGCAGCATGTAACAGCTGCCCAGTGATTCTTCAGACGGGAGAGGCCTATGGGGTGGAGCAGTCATGGTTAACCTTATGGGTCATATGAGATTTGAACCAAGCCTTGAAGAACTGGGACGGTATTATAAGCAAGGACACTGTGAACAAATGCTAAGCGGTGGGGCTGTTGGGGAGAATGAAAATTAAGGAAAAAGGCTCAAGATTGTGGATTATTGGACCACATGTACATTGACACTCGGTTATCATTAATTTAAGCAAAACAAACACAACATGTAGCATGGGTTTTTTTTTCCCCCCCTCTCATGGGGAAAAGAAATATTAGAGTCTTCAGATAATTTTTCCTTAGTTCACTCCTACTCTGATCAGCCTCACAAATGAATGTCTTTTTAATCCCTTTCACTGTTTATCTTTGCTCCTTCCATTTTCATTTTGCTAATCTTCTGCTCTTCCCTTTTCCTGCCCTTCCCTAACCCAGCAGGAATCTAAACTGGTGCAGGAAGGGAGGGGGGGCAGCCGAATGAGATGGAGTAAAAGTAACTTGACAGGGACTCAGGTTGATTGGAAGTTTTTTGTTTAGTTGTTTTGAAAACATTTCTTTAGAGAATTGATAGTGGGTCAAGTTAAATCATTTACTATTTATAACTTGAGGGATATCGACTTGATCGATGTTTCTACCCCTACTCTGTTAAGTGTGGTAACATACTCCAGGTGTCCTGGTCCCGCTATTTGGATATGTTAAGACAGCACACTCTGCTCAGGGTGTGTGTGGACATGTATGCAGTCCCCTCTGGCTTGGGCTTCTTGTTGCATTTAAAGTGTTCTATCCAGATGAGGAATTTTTATTTAAACATGAGAAAGAGACAGAAAAAGCCCAGCAAGAATAAACATGAGAGGCCTCACCTAGTGTTAGTCGTGATAAAATTAAATGGACAAACTGACTTAACCAAATAAGGTCGTATTTATAGATCGGTACCTTGGAAACATAGTAATAGAAGCTTATTGATTGGCTCTAATTGATAAGAAAGTTACCAGTCCTATAGAAAAGGTCAAAAGTGGGTGGGCAGAAGTGATGAAGACACAGTGTTAGGAATGGCATAACTATTAAAAAAAACCATGAGGAAATTCTGTTTGGAAATTAGTTACCCATATAATCGTGTAACAATAGGGAGATGCTCTGGAACAACTGGGAAGGACAGTGAGATTGTGAGAAATGTGAAGTGACATAGTGAACCCCACATCAAGCAGTGTAGGACCTCTGGGGGGGATGTAATTACCTCAAATTAGATGGGTAGAACACTTTATTAGAATAAAAAGAAGGGGTGAGTTTTTTGCTTTGTTTTTGTTTGTTTATTTGGTTTGGTTTTTTTTAACATCTTTATTAGAGTATAATTGCTTTACAATGGTGTGTCAGTTTCTGCTTTATAACAAAGTGAATCAGTTATACATATACATATATCCCCATATCTCTTCCCTCTTGCATCTCTCTCCCTCCGACCCTCCCTATCCCACCCCTCTAGGTGGTCACAATGCACCGAGCTGATCTCCCTGTGCTCTGCGGCTGCTTCCCACTAGCTATCTATTTTACATTTGGTAGTGTATGTATGTCCATGCCACTCTCTCACTTACCCTTCCCCCTCCCCGTATCCTCAAGTCCGTTCTCTAGTAGGTAGGGGTGAGTTTTTAGACATAAAACAGTGTGGCAAGGTAGTCAGGGGCCTATAGGAAAGACAAATTCAGCATCTGATCCTTACAGATAATTAAGAACCAGGAAGTTACGCTGCTGTTCAGTTTTCAAAAAGAGAGCCATACCATTCAGTTTTAGAAAGAAAAGAGAACCATGAGAGTGCTTACCAGGTGCTAACTACCTTGGAGGATCCCAAGAACCTTGAAGAGTGTTTGTGTAACAGTGTAATTCACAGAGGGTTTGTATTTCCATCATTTCATGGACTCCTGATAAATTTCTGAGTTAGGCAGGACAGAGGTGGCCATCTTAGTTGATCAAGAGAGGAACAGGTTCATTGAGGTGAGTACCTTGTTGAACATCCTGCCAGCACTGTTGGCAGAGCCAGGTTCACTTTTTCTTCACTGCTCTTTTCTATAATACCAGCTATTTAGGCCTTTCCTGAATAGATTAAGGATAAGAGGGTCAGCCATCTCTGAAACATTTGTTTAGAAGCCATCAATTTACACCACTGCTTACAGACTGGGGTATACCTATGCCCTTTCTAGTGTTTTGAAAGTTAATCATTCTATATAAAATGATATTTTTGTTGTTAAATATTGGCATAAACATTTTAACTATAGAATGAGCCCAATTCTATTAAAAAAAATACATTCTATATATAAACAAAGGTAAGAGACTGGAAATAAATACATCTTTAAGTAGATTTTAAGTGATTTGGTTTTTTCTTCCTATTTGTATTTTTCAAACTTTCTACAACAAGCATATATATTTTCTACAGGCATAAATATGCATGTGTATATATGTGTATGTGTATATATATGTATATGCATGTACTTAGAAAAATAATCTTTCATTACAAACAGTTTTGGTCTTTTTTCAAAAACAAAGCTATAAATCTGTCTTGCAGTTCAGAAGAAAGAATTACCACTCCAACTTTAGACAATTGTGTGTAATTGGTTGACAAAACTTCTAGATCTGTGTCCATTCTAAGTTAAATGGAGGCATCAGGGCTCTGGATTTTAAATCAAAAGGGCTTGGATTAGAATTCTGACTTAGCTACCTATTAACTGGTATTAACTTACCCATTTTTTGAAAACTGTGAAGCGCTGAAGATACTGAATGCCATCACCCCATCCCAGATTGATGGACTTCAGGGCAGTTGCCCTCAGGGCGGCTACAGTACCAGAACCTCTCCCTCTCCCTCTGAGGTCAGTGGGGCTCCCCTAGACGGCCTGTGCCTGAGCGCAGGAGGCTGCACTTCCTCCAGTTCACCACTGGGTGCCGCATTTTGACGTCTCCAGCCTCAGGGTCTAGGTTTTTGCCTTTAAATCATTTTTTTCTTCATTCTGAAATTTAAGGCCATTCCCCAACTCCCTTCCAGTTTCCCCTTTTCATTAGAAAGATAATTCAGGGAGGAAGGTAACAGTGCCTCATTTCACCATGTTCCATGTTAAAAGTGAGTATTCTTTTAAAAAGTCAGTTTATCTTTTAGAAAAAATTTTAAAAGCCTGACTTATGTCAAAAGTGTTAGTTAGGGGTAGGGATGAGGTATATTTTTCTTTGATTTTTAATGAGTTTATTATGTTGGAGCATTAGTCATCTTGTGGAATTAAGTGAGTTTCCCACCAATCAGGCTGAAATAACTCACATTTTTGTTAAAACCCCAAAGTCCAGCTGATGCATGGCAGAGATTGTTTGGGTTTGAAACATATGGTGGTTTAAAAAAAAACAAAAAAAAAACAGAGTCCTCAACCACAAATACATCAGCATTTCAAAGCCTTGTAAAATATTTGATTCATCACTGTCCCAGCCCCTGAAATTACACAATATGTTCCTCAAAATCAAGATAATGAAGAAATGGGGAAAGTTTTAATTTATAAGGTTTAAAAACATGTTTTTTAATTCATTACACAGCTGCCACATTATCTGAATTATATTTATTTTAAACACTGTAGGTTCTGGTTACGCTCACACACGTGCACACACACGACTGCAAGTATGTGTTGAATGTAAAAGCCATATATGAATGAGGGATCTCGATTGAATTGTGTATTATTTACAATGGTATCGCGCCTTATGGGGCCCTATTTTAAATGGCACATCTTCTATTTTACCTGTATTAAATACTGATGTGGCCTTATCTCCCTTCTACCTTGATCTTTTCAGGGCTCTGTTTTGGCTGTATTTATTTTATAAAGCAGAATAGTCTGCTGACCACAACTGTGAACTTTAAGATTTAATTTTCAGGTTCTATATATCAGAAGGCTAGAATGCCATGGGGTAAATCGCTTAGCTTTTCTTTGTTTCCATTTTTTCCACTTGATCAAGTAAGACTCTTTATTTTCTTTTTGGAGATTTTTTTTCCAGAGAATTCGCTAAATAATGTATAAGATTTGAAGGTGGTGTTTTTTAGGGGGACTAGGCAAAGTATTTCCTTTGAGAGGAGAAAATGGTCCATTGTTGAAGCAAAGGATGAGATTCTGATTCTAATTTATTCTCTTTGAACCTGATGGTAAATGCTACTTGCTGTAAGATGTGGTCCTTAGGGCATTTCCTCTAACCAAACCTTTCCTCCAAAAGCCTGGCACCTTTGGGACTGCTAAAGAGAAATTCTTCCACCCCTCACCCCATAGATCTAAGGCTAAATTTTATAATTTAGGAGAAAACAATGGCCAGCTAAAGTCCCTGGCCGTAGCCAACTTAACACTAGTAGCCGGACTCCAAATATCATTCAGCGCTTCCCCACCTACTGCCCAGTAGGACCAAGCTTGCTCCTTTCAGTTATTCAGTTTTGAGCCGCTGACCGTACTTTGGATCCACTGGGTTTTTTAAAGGGAAAAATTCTGTCTCTGCCCTATTGTGCATTAACTTATTCATTCCTTTATTCAATTAACATTTATTGAGTCCCTCCTTTGTGCCAGGCATTCTTTTGGGGATACCAAGATGAGTCAGACTCTGAAACGCTTTGAGAGAAACATTAATGTGTGTGTGTGTGTGTGTGTGTGTCTGTATACACATATTCTCACAGATACATACACACACATATATAATATATAGTGTGGATACAAGCAGTGGAAGCAGGAACAGAGTGTTATAGAGTGTTGCAGGTCACTAACAAATTAGTGAATCTGCTATAAAACTCTAGAAGTTTTCTTCAGAATTGGGATGGAGCATCATGTAATCTAACCAAAGGAAAGTGGTTTTCCCAAGGCCATATAAGTAGATAGTGAAAAAACGTGGATCAGAACCCAAGCTTTTGACTTCTGAATTTTCCTTATTGTGCCCAAAGTCTCACAAAAGACAAAGAGCCTTTATGGCCAGTTGCCCACATTACAGTCAAAAGTGAGAACATAAAGTGTGTATTTTGATGAAAGTTTTCTGTTCTATCATTTGCACTTCTAATTGTTCACAAACAAGCAGCATTTTTACTTATAAGCTAGAGTATGACCTGTTAGAGAAAGGAGGAACTTGGGGTTAGTGGAAAGACACGGTAAAGAGAAAACTAACTTTCATTGAGCAGTCAGGCACTATGTGTGGACACGTTGACCTCCACTGTCACACTTAGTCCCTTTAACAGTCTCTCGAGGTCCTTGGTGTTCTCATTTTTACGGCCAAAGAGACTGGACACAGATTAATGACCCACCCAAAGTCACACAGTTGTCAGCCTGGTCAAGTTTGACTCATCCTGAGCTGTCACCTCCACCACTCCCCCATTAGGTGTGGGCTATCACAGGGGGACTTTCACTCTTGCTTTCATGATTATTGGCTCATCTGTTTCCCACCCTGGGTGGTCAGCTCCATCAGTGCAGGGACAGTGCGTACTTGGCTCACCTTTCTATCGCTGCTGCATGAGGAGGGCACTCAACATTTTGACCATGTAGAGCTGGGATTCAAACTCAATTCTTGTTATTGCAAGGGGTCTGTATAAAGTTCTCTGAGATCCTCTTTGAAAAGGCAACATAGACAAACAAAGTATCAAACATTACCTTCTATCCTTGTCTACATTGTGGACAGGATGAGAGCACATTAGAAGTCACTGGGGAAATCAGGAATTAATTTGTTCATGTATCCATCCTTCTGTTCATTCTTTGGTTCTGTTGATTCTTTCTCCAGTATTGGTCGAGTCTCTGATTGGCACAGCACTGCTAGGCTTGGTGCCTAGAAAACATGTCTGGGCAGGGGTGGAAAGCAGCTGTGTAACGCCTCACATGTCATTGTGGAGAGCCTGCTGTGTTCATTAAGTAGTTCCCAGTTTCATTTTGCCTCGCCCACAAAGGCACAATAGAAACCAAGGTAGGGGAGGGGATGGCACAAGAGGAAAATGCAACAATGCCACTTGTGTCCCGTGTATTAACTCTGAGTGGTCCAGGTTTTTGGTTTCGTTTTTAACCAAATACACGTACATTTTTAATTCCTCTGAAGTGTATGTTTTTTTGGACGGAGATTTTTTAGGAGGTTTTTAGTCACTCATGAAGTAGATCAAATTCATAAAATAGTTCAAATGACCTTTTTTCCATTCTTCCTTGCCCTGCGAAATCAGCGTGTTACTATTTGCACTTGCAAAAGTTCTGGACATTCGGCTCAAGCCACGAGGTTCTTGTGGAGCAGTGTCGTGTCTTTGCAGTGAAAGGGACCAGGCGGTGGGAGGTGAAGCTGGCCCAGCTCGCGCAGTGCCTCCTCCACTCTTTGCAGACCCCCACTGCTTATCGCACACTTTGCTGGGCCCCGCACAGCAGGGTGGACCAAGGATAGAATTGCAAACAGAAATTGTGCTTGCTTTTGTTTAGTGAAGCCAAAAGTCTTAATATTATTTTATGAACTTGATGTAAATGACAACTGACATGAGAATGAGAAATTTTAAGAGCACATAAGCGTCTTTACAATCCCAGGAGTTGGGGGCAGAGGACAGTACAGAAAGTGTGTGTGTGTTTGTGTGTGTATTCTTTCTTGAGTCGTATATAATCAGTGCCTTCACCCTCTCCAAAAAGACCAGAACTGATTAGAAGAAGGAAAAGACTAACTTGATGCACAAAATTTGTATGCATGCCAAGTACTGGAGTAAAAAATATTTGGCATCTGACTGAAAAGACACCAAGCAACCATTTGATGTCTATGGTTGAACACTCTCAAGATCTTGCACTCCTATATTTCATTTAAAAAATTGCTCCCTGAAGTGCAAACTGACTTCAATTTTGAAGAAAATTTAGCATTCAAATTTATAGCCACTTTGAAAACTGAGGGTTTATTTATATCATATGAACCTGAACAGATTCTTAATTACAGCAGCCCTAGTGCACATGGAGAATCTGGATTTCAAAAAAAAAAAAACCTTCCACATAGGTTTTTCTACATTTTTGAGATGCTTTCATAGCAGCCATCATTCATGGGAAATAGTATTAAAATCCTGCCATATTGCAGTTTAAATTTAAACGCACTGCTTCCCAGTAGAGAGTTTAGTGTATCCTATAAAGGCACTAAATGGATTTTATCGGTTTTGTAATTTTTTCACTTCTCTTGCAAGCCTAATTCTACTGAGAGATGCTGGTCCCTTTGAGTAATCTGTGTGTGTTAACAACCTGTACAGGGAACTCCTCTCTTGCTTGTTGTAATGGGCAAAAGTCATCTTGGTTTGCATGAAAGAGAAGGTCTCATTGAACTAGGGTGAGCCTTTCATTTTAAGAAGAGTTAAAGTCTGGGGTGTTTTTAATGTTTTAATCTCTGTTTAAGAGGTTTCTGTTATGAGAGGAAAATTGATAACATTTTTACCTCAGCCAACTGCCAGCAAACTGGCTCTGCTCTAATCCCACGTTTATAGTGATTTATATTCTCCGTGGCAATGTGCTGTAACCTCAGAGTGATACCACTGTGGTGCAGATTGACTGCATTCCAAATGCTGGAATCACATACATAATGCTTTTACTTTTAAATAATATTCAGACACCAGAATAAATACCATATGTGCACTGATGCTGGTTACAATGGAACCTTGTCATTTCTTGTGAGGGAGAACATTCTTTGTTTCTGATTTCTGTTTGAAATAAGTATGCAAAAGATAAATATGTACATTGACAGCATTTTGAGAAGGCTCAGGTAATTGCACAGCTGAGGATGTAGCTAGGAGTCCTTGAAATGTAGCATTTAAGACTGAAAAGGCTGCTGTGTTGCCACCATCCCTTTTTGACACACGTGAAGGCAAGGACTGTAATCTGAAGTTCCCAGTGTAGGGTTTAGTTTTTATATTTCATAGCTACAGCCTTCTGTAGTTACCGGACATCTGTTGAAGAAAAATTACCTCGAGTACTGTTCACAGAAACAGTGAGACTAACGTGCTGATGACCTCGTAACAGGGAGAGTAACACACGTGATAACGGGAAGAGATGGATTGGTTGGAAAGTCATAATTCAGTGTGAGACCTAATGTTATCTGATGCCACGAAACCAGAACTTACGTGGCCTGATATCATCAAAATACAGATAATCAATCTCTCCAGATCCATTTTTTCCCCACATGATGTTGAAGATTTAAAAGTTTCATAAAGTAGAAATACCTCCCAAGTCATGCATTTTTAGGTTCTTGTTTTCATCCATCTTGGTTGGAATTCTAATCCACCTAGACATATTTTTTAAATAGACATGCTAGAATGCCTTTCATATTTGTGCATCTGTGACACGATCCAACAAGTCAGTCCGTGTTTGCTTCTTGGGAAAGCATTTCAATCCAGGTTTGTGTTATTACCATCAGGTGAGCTATATTGAATTAGTGCTTACGACGTTTTCGTAATATTTTGTAGATGAGGAAACCCTGGGCATTGGAATTGCTGGCTTTCCCTACTCCTCTGCACCCCCATCCCCACTCAGTTTTGTGAGGTTCTCCCAGAATATATAGTGTAAGGTAATGTGTGAGGCATACCTCATAATGCATCTCTGACAGCTTATCTAGCACGTGACTCAGAGTTTGGGTACGTCTTGCCTCCTTTATGGGAGCTATTTGTAGAAGTGTTCAGTGTGAGACCTAATGTTTTTTATAATTTTATAATGTGAGCCATTATAAAAATGCTCAAAAGTCTCTTTGTGGACTTGAGAAGTTATGAGACAAATATTGTACCTCTAACGTATTGTCTCTCCTTTGCAGCTTTTCGGATGATCCCTTATCCCTTGGAAAAGGGGCATCTATTTTATCCTTACCCCATCTGTACAGAAACAGCAGATCGTGAGCTGCTTCCATGTGAGTCTCCCCCCCATAATCCTCCCTTTGGCTGGTGAGGGTGGTGTGCCAAAGACTGGGATGGGAAGAGGTGGAAATGATAAATGTTTATGATGTTCCTTGTCTTTTATTACTCTTCTCCCAAACCCTGTCCTCATTTGATAGCATAAGCATTAAAGTGAGTTATGTGTGTAGGTTTGGCTTCCTGCTTCTCCACGTCTCTCCAGATTCATCAAAGGGAAAGACCCGCCCAGGTCTGAAATGTAGATGAAGAGCCATCATGTACTGGTTGGTCTGAGCGTAGAGACCCCTAGTTTGGGGCAGAGACCCCTAGTTTGGGGCAGATGCCCCTTGCTGGGCTGATCCACTGTGCGGGGCTCGGCCTGGGCTCTCCCTCTGGTCAGAGGCAGTCTGCACAGACCGGAGTCTGGAGGGGAGGCACTGGCTTCAGAGGGAGCTGCAGATGAGCCATGGGTGGGAGGGTGGCACGGGGGCGCTGGCATTGTGGCCAGAGGCGGAGTCGTGGGCAGGGTGGGGCTGCCCTCTGCGGTGATGCGGTGCTCTTGGCCGGCGGGATTTCCCGTGAGCATCTCACGGATGGCGCACAGTGAGCTGGTGTAACGTGTGCAGGGGACACGTGCAGCCTCAACACTGTATACAGCAGGCGGCAGGCAAACCCTGCCCTTGAGGGCCTTACAAGCTAGCAGTCGGGGGGCCCATACCACACGTGGAAAGTATGATTTGGTTTACTGTAATGCAACATTGTTTTGACAATTCCGGCTAAATAGTTATTATCAAATTATACTGTGTATGAAGAGCATGTCCAGGCTGTTCATGTGGCCCTGACTTAGGATATACTTTCCTCCCTCAGATAATACGCTCCAAATCTTGGTTGCTCTCTCTTCCCCGTCCTCTCTTCTGCCACAACCACCCTGCACCAGCCCCAGCTACGTCACATCTCATAGCTGTAACATATTTAAATGCTTTGCCAGGAGGGCCAGTATAACTGTGGAGCCCTGAGTGTTGGCAGACTGTCTAATGCCCACGTTTTTGAGCTGGTCGTAAATCTCCAACGTAGTGGGTGCAAAACAAGGCTGCCGTCTCAGGTTGAAAGAGCGGGAGGCAGCTCTCTCATTTCTTTGCAGGACAGACCCGCTGGGAGACATGTTACCTCGGGAGCTGGGAGACCTCAGAGGGGTGTGGTTCCTCACCATCTGAGTTTATTGTGGAAAAGCGTCGGGTGCCTCACTCTGCATTAGATTTGATTTCAGAAATCCCTGTGATGGGCCCATGCTTTACCTTTTGACTCCCCCTTCAGGGAGATCCTTGTTAACATTTACAGTTTCTGGTAAGAAAGGCAGTTTTCTGAAAAGTACACTTTTACAGTGTTTTAATTGAGTCCAATCATGTTTCCATGGGGATAGATTCACTATTAGAACAAGATTACAGTTCTTAAAAGAAACTGTCTAGGAATAATCTTTACAGTCCTGGAATAGAAAACTATGGCTCACGTTTATTTATTTGCATGCAGTGGTTCAAGTCTGGTCTCCCCTCAAAATCGTTGGGTGCTGAGGGTGAGGATGGGGTGGGGGTGGGTGGCTTTACATGTTACCTGCGTGCTGCACGCGAGTGGTGTAGTGTCCACGGTGGTCCTGAGCACACGTCCACCCATGAAGAATCCTAGCAGGTTGACATCCCCGGATTCAGGTGCATGTGCTCGTTTGTACTTTGTCCCTCCTTGGCCCTCTACACCCTCAGTTTCAGCAGAGTGGATTACTGCTTAGAGCTGAAAGGTCGAGGAAAGACTTGAGACCTTGGATTTCCTGAGGAAGACGGAGCCCCTCGAATCTTTTGGTTTGAGTGGCAGTGTAGCTCACACACAGCCTCACGGCTCCCCTCCACTGGGCCAGCCTTAGTTGCTTTTCTGTCTGTGCGGACCACTCGAAATTTAAAAGTTATGAAAGGCTCTAAAATCTCCCATTTTTGTTGGATGGATGGTCCTCGCTGGATGTCTCTCTATCAGGGTGGCACCCTCCACTGACATAGTTAGATTGTACCAGGAAAAAATACAAGATACACTAAGATCACCCTATCACAATGATTTAAAAATTACAGGAAAAGTGAAAACCTAGAGAGAGGATTTTGATTTTTTGACTTTGGATTTTCCAGGTTTTGTTCAATGAACATGTGTTTTATAATTTGAATAAAGTTTTGTTTTATTTGTGTTTGCATTTGCAAAAGAAATACTGTATATTAGGCATAGATAGTGTTACTGTCCCTGCCCATGAGTGTGTGACATCCCCAAATTAGCCCTATCATGCCCTAGATAGAGTTCTGAAGGTTGAACGTGGACTTGGGAGAAGCAGATAGGCCACCAAAGGCTGGCTGAAATGTGGGCTCTTCTTCGTTCCAGGGCCCTACCTTTTTCATTTCCAGCAGGCTTGAGCCAAAGCTCTGCAGAGTCAGTCCCACCTACAGAAATTCCCTGAGAATGCATTTTACTGCAGCCCTAACACTTCCTTTTTGATCTTCTCCACAGCTTTCCATGAAGTCTCAGTTTACCCAAAAAAGGAGCTTCCCTTTTTTATCCTCTTTACTGCTGGATTGTGTTCCTTCACAGCCATGCTGGCCCTCCTGACACATCAGTTCCCGGAACTCATGGGGGTCTTTGCGAAAGCTGTGAGTATTTGCCAAGGGGGAGGCTGCAGGCAAGGGGCAGGGAAAGTCAAGAGAAGCAGCATAAGAGAAAGAGGGGAGTGTTGTGTAGAAGTGGACGTGCTTGTATTGATCCTTTGCATACTGTTCAATTTTCATTATCATCGGTGAGATCAAGGGTTGAGGGTCAGAATGAGAAAGTGTAGCTTGTTTGTTACTGCATGCCTTGCCTATTTCACAGACACAAAAATTCTCAGCAGCTCCCCTAAAAAAATGCATGAGGTCTAAAAGAATTAAAGAATTAAGGGAATCCTAGCAAATGAAAAATACTTGGGAGGTTTTTCAGTTTTGTATAAATTGAATGACATCATTTCTAATCTTTAGATATTGTAGGTCCTTCCTTCAAGAAAGATAGAATTTACATTTTCAAAGATGATTTAAATTTAAAAAGTTCTAATGTCTACAAATTAAATGGCTTGTTTGGGGAATGAACTGAGAGGGTGTGAAGGGTATGTAGTATTAAGAAGTATACAGATATGATATTTAGAAGTATGGAAATCCATTAAGGGTCTTTAAAGAGGGTTATGGAGAAGAGCTTTAATAAGAAAAGCCATCTGCACTGACAACCAAGAACCATTGTTTCCTTGATGAAAAGTGACCATTTCAGCTTGCACATGCAGTGAGGATAAGTTTACTGATTTTGCCACAAAGGAGTTTCAAACAGAAGGAATAAGGAAAAGAATATCAATTGTTTCCCTGGAACTCCATTCTGATTTCAAGGCGAGTGGAGTCAGCAAGGATGATTTCTAACTTGGCTGGGTTGATTTAATCCCTTTCCAGATGATTGACATTTTCTGCTCGGCAGAGTTCAGGGACTGGAATTGCAAGAGTATTTTCATGCGTGTTGAAGATGAACTGGAAATCCCACCGGCACCTCAATCTCATCATTTTCAAAACTGAACTCATCACCCTTCTTCCCCCACCACCACAACTGCTCCTTCTCCTGTATTCCTGATCTCCGCCAGTGGCACTGATATCCACCCAGTTACTCAAGCCAGAAACTCAGCAGCCCTCCCAAACTCTTCCCTCTCTCACTCCTTATATCCTGTCTGTCTTGGCTTTCACAGTCTGTCGGCTCTAACCTCCTGAGCCACTAGGCATTCGGTAAATGTAATTCACCTCTTCTTCCCTTCCTTCTTCTCCCATGGCTGTCTCTTAGTTTGGATCTTTGTGATTTCTTGCCTGGACACCTGCAAGAGTCTTAACTGGTCTGCTTGCTTCCAGTCTTATCCTCTGCCAGTATTTCTTTCATACTGACAAAAGAATGATCTTTCTAAATTGCAAGTCTGAGCATGTCACTTCCCTGCTTGAATTTCTCCAGTAGTTTCCCACCAGCATCAGGATAAAGTCCCAGATCTTTAGCACGGCATACAGGGTCCTTTATGATCTGGCCCTTGCTTTCCTCTTCAGCCTCATCTCTCTCCCAACTCTTGCACAGACACTGGTCTTGGGCCACAGTGAATTGCTTACCATTCCCAGATGCTTTTGTGAGCCTCGGTGCCTTTGCACGTACTATTTGCTCTGCATGGAATGCCCTTCCCCATTATCATCAGCACTTGTACAGTCTACTAACACCTCTTCATTCTTTTATACTCAGCTTCCTTTCTAAGTTTCTCCCAAGCTGAGTTAGATGTTTCTCCTCTCAGCTCCCACAGTATTCCATGAATACCTATATTACGTTTATTGTACTGTATTATAATTGTTAAAAACTTGTCTGACCCCCTTGTAGAATGTGAGCTCTTTGTGAGCAGGACTGTGTCTTCCTCATCTCTGTATCCCCAAAGCTTTGCACAGTGCCTTGCACATAGTAGGTTTTCAATAAATGATTATTAAATAAATAAATGGTAGTGGTTTCTGCAGAAAGAATCAGTGTAAAAAATTAGATACAGCTTAGCATTTCTTCTCTTCTTTTATAATTATGATCACAGACAGAGTTGAAATGGACCTTAAATTGCCTTCAACAGTAACTTGATGAAGGTCACTTAGACTCATCTGGAATACTTTTAGCGATGGAGTGTTCACCTGTTCAACGTGGAAGCCCATTTCAGTACTGGATCACTCAGAACTCTTCTTGATCCTGATAAAATCTGCCTTCCTTTAATTTCCACTTATTTCCTATTCTACTCTCCAAAACTGTAGTGAACAACTCTACTTCCTCTTGCAATTTCTTGAGGCAACTAATATATTCATGGCCACCTCTCACCTCTAACTTACTACCTTCTCTTTTCTTCAGGCAGAATGTCTTCAATTTCCTTAAGTCTTCTGTACATGATATGATTCCTGAACCCAGCATCACTCAAGCTGCCTCCTTGGATGCTCCCTAGTTTATGAGCCTATGCTATTCATTATTTGCTTCTATTCCCAAGCCAACCTTTGAGTTAAAGCAGTTACCAAAAGTCTGAGTAGATTAGAGTGTCACGTAGTAAAATTTAAAATAAGAATACATTTACAACATTAGACAATGTCATTCTTCATTGAACTAACAAGCAGCTCTTGGTGGGAATTTAGGATCAGGACAGTGATTCTCAGCCCCTAGTGTGCATAAAATTCACCTGGCCCTACCACCGGAAGTTCAGAGCCTTGAGTGTTAGCACCCGGGAATCTGCGTTTTTAAACAAGCCCCGCCTCCCCACCGATTCTAAGGATGGGGGTTGAGGACCATTTCCTCCAAAGAACACTGGTCTCAAAAAAGCCAGCCTTTGAGCAGCCGTTTGCAGGTGCATGGTGCGACGTCAGAGCTGTTGAGGTGACAGGTTTCTAGGAACCAGCAGTTTCACCCCGGCTGCTCCTTGAAATCATCTAGGGAGCTTAAAAATTACAGGTGCCTCATCTCCCAATCCTGGGGACTCTGACTTAGTTGGTCTGGGATGCAGCCTGGGCATCTGAGTTTTCAGATGCCCCCCTAGTGATTTGGGTATGCAGCCAGGGCTGAGAGCCCCTGTACTGAATAAAGTAACTGCCTGAAACTGCGTCGCCCAGGGAGAGGCCTGGGAGGAATGGAGGGTAGTCCATAGAATACGGCTGGGTGTTCTCTAGGTAAGGCTGTGTAGCCTCCAGAATATCACAGAGATGTGTTCGTTATGGATATTAGACCAAGGGCCACTCTCCTCATTTAATGTTCCCAAAGCTTTGTTTTTGAGTCAAGGACCAGATTAAATAAAATATAAATTTACCTTTATGATCCTCATATTTTATACTCTACCAAGGTGTGGTAGTTTGGTCAGCTACTCATAGTTTTCAAAAGTAGTTTAGATAAATTTGCTTTTAAACCTCTGTCTGGAGGATCACATTCATCTTGCCCTTCATTAAGGTTTAGCAGTACTAAAACGTCTGGAGAGATTTCATGGGGAAGGAAGATGGATGGCCTGAAGGAGACAAGCCCCATCTCCCTCCTCCTTCCCCCCACTGCTCCGGAGTCTTCTCCACATTTTCACTCTTGTCACTTCATCAGGCCCCTCGTGAAGCCCCCCACAGGTTATCACAGCTGCCCTATAGGCTGCCTGCAACCATTTGCAGCTTGTGAAAATGATTTTCTCAGACCTCGCCTGAGATAATGTCCCTGGGATAATGACTCAGTAGATGGAGAGAGATTGCACTGCCACCCGCCAGGCTGCGTGCAGCTTGGGAACTCTCCAGTGTGTTTACATGTTGATATGCAGCCAGTAAGGAAGCCCGCAGCCAAGTGTGAGCCACTGGAAAATAGTAAAATGAGAGGCTTCAACTCTCTCCGCCTAATCTAATCTACCTCAATGACTTAGGACTAACTCTTCCTAGAATGTTTGGTTACCAAGATAAGGTTGCTCATATAAATAAGTGATCATTCCAAACCCAGCCCCTCACAGAATGTGGGAAGGTCAGCATGCTGACCTCTTCTGTTTGAAGGGCCCTGTCTTTCCTCCTCTGGTCTCTCTCCTTCCCTGAGATCCAGCCCCCTGACTTCTGACTCTTGTCTTCAACTTATACGCCCTGACCTCTTTGAAGCCTGATATTGATCACAGTGAAATGTCAATTGTCTGATTGCAGTAGGGCACCTGGAACTTATTCAGATAAGCAGAGGCGTTTCAAACGTTAACGAAGCACGTTGGGAGCCATGACCTTCTTCTAAATAACGGTGTTTCGGGGAAAAGGAGGATCAGGCGATTGAAGTGTTGCTCTCTCTTTTTTATTAGTTCAGTTGCTTTTTCTCACCACAAGACACTGATTGAATTATGGTGCATTTTGGACCGTGTATGTCTGCCCCCAGGACAGAAGTTTTGGACATTGAGACAGATGAGCTGTTCCAGGGTTGCCTGGTGTTGCTCATTCAGACTTAACTTTTCAGGCAATAAAATTTCCCAAGTCCCTAAGTGAAACTGTTGTTTCTCTATGTGCATTGGTTGAGTCTTCGGCCAAAAAGTGTTGACTGATATTCAAACGTGCAAAGAAGCATCCTAAGTAAACAAAGCATGTTCCACCAAACTTTCTTTGTTTAATGCCTCCTGAAGCAAGCCACTGACCTTTGGTTACTAAATGAAAAGGGCTTAACGGTTCCAGGCACCCCATTACATTTTGCTGCTTCTTCCTTGTGGGCGAGGGTTGGGGAGGAGGTCTCGGAGAGCGCTGCTAAGGAGGAAGGTAACCTAGCAGCAAAGGGTGCGCATCACAACTGGGGTGCTGCGAGAGAATTAGGATCTCTAGGAAAGGGTTCAAGGCATTCTTTTCTCAATTGTCCCAAGGATAGAACATTCTAGATATGAGGGAGAGCAGTAAATGATCACATACATGGGAGGTATTAGGAGTTAATTCTCTTGTGGAACCTGGTCGAGAAGCACAGGTGTGTCCAGGGGGCCAGGGCTCACTGCATCTTGCTGCGCAGGGTGGAAAGAGGGGCATTTACAGACCACAAACTGGGCGAGGCCTGCCCCTTAAGTTCCAGAGGCCTCCCTTTTACGCTTTTTATCCAAGTCAGGTCAGTGACCAAAACTAAGCAAACAGACAGGCCTTTATCTTGAACCAGCTTTGTAACAACATCTCCATTCATTCTGCTACCCAAGCTGAGGCTCCCTGGTGTCCCCCCGTTTAGTGTATGAAGTCGCCCAGGGTGTAGACTTTGAGCGATTCCTATCATCTAACCACACTGGCTCACGCTAATGCATCACTTGTTCCCACCTCAGTCACAACTTCGGTGGTTATAAATCTGTTTTGGATTAGGTTTGCAGGATATGATAACTTCACCAGCAAAATCACCTTGTTCATTGGGCCTCATCTTCCTGCCACTGTCAGGATCCTCGGTTCATCCAGACTACTTCAGCACCTAGCTCCTCTTTATGGAGCTGAGTATTATAGGCAAATGCTGTGTGTTATGGAGCCTTGACAATCTCTGATTACAAACAAATGAATAAATGTTATGTGTAAATATTTTTAATTCTACAGTTTTATCATGTCGGTCTGATACAATCAGTAGACTTGTTCCATGTCATCCTCTCAGAACTAGGATTTTACAAACTCTTTCAGGGGCAGCTCGGGCAGTAATTACTCATTCCTGGGCCTAGTATCTCCCACAATGCCTTCCAACCTCATCCAGCTCTAAACTGAAAAGGACAGGCAGTCCATTAAGTAGGGCGTGCATCCCGTGTGGTACTGTGCACCCAACCAAGGATAATTTCAGAAGGTTGCCAGGCATTGCCCTATATCTAACACCCACTTGAGGAAAGAGCCATCCTACCTTCACTCAAGTACTAACGTGGCTGCCTTTTTCTTAACTGCAAGTTCCTTAACAGCCTGGCACTCAAGGCCCTCCCCAGAGTTATGCTAGTTGCTTTTGAACTCTACCTCCATCTCTTCTAGTCATACCAGCTGCATTCCCCTTTCTGTTCCAGCTGTTTATTGAGCCTGGAAGGCCCACCTGCTCACATTTCTTTCCTTACCATTCTTACCCCATCTCTGTCTTTTCATGCCCCAACCATCCACTGGGGACTATTTCAGTCACCTCATTTTCAGTTTTTCCTGTTCCTTTCGACAAAATGGATTCTCTCCCTTTCCCGAACCTTCCTGGTGTTTTGTTTGTGCGTCTATCTTCTACTCTGTCATGGTCTACCTGGTATTGTTACTTTGCTGGGTACAGGTCTTAGTGGCTCCCTTCCCCAACCCCTAGGCTTTGAGCTTCCTGACAGTGGGACTTTTGTCCTAGACGCTTTTATATCTCACCCAGTACTTAAGTGCCTTACTGAGTAAATATATTCAATTGATGTAAAAGATGCAGTACAGAGAAGGGTTCCGAACCTTATACTCTCTCAAGTTTTCGTTACACAAATCTCGCACTTGATGGTCCTGCCATAATGTGGTACAGGCCTTCCCAGTTTGCATTCTACTGGTTCTTTAAAAAAAAAAGAAGAAGAAGAAGGACAGATTCTGAGGTCATGTAAATTTGGGGAACTTGCCTACCATACCCCTTCTTGAGGACCCGCAATCCATAGAACATATGACCAGTAGAGGAGACTGTTTTAACTTCACTGCATGCAGGTCTACTAATTTGTCTGGCCTCAGACCATGTTCCCCCTCTGCGTATGTACTCATGTCCTACAGCACACTTCTGTGGGAAATTCTTGGTAGTGTAGGCTGTGCTGTGCTATGGGCAAGGGATTGGGACAAAGGACTCCACAGTACAAGAACCAGACATTGAACCCTAGTGAGACGATACCTTGGTTCTGAACAGAGAGCAAGGAAACCCATCCAAACACCCGTCTTGTGCCTGATTGGGTTAGGGCACCTCTTCTGCCAGATGCTGGATGGCTTGTGGAGGGAGGCTGATTCTTCACGAGAACATAATCAGAACAGATTTGAGATTATGTTAAATGAGTCTCAGGCAAGACGCCTGACTTTCCTAAAAGGCACAGATAATAAGCATTATTCTCTACGTGAAAAACAGAAAGGAATTCAGTAACCAAACGAAAGAGATCCCAAAGCTCTCCTCAGAGCAGCACCTTTTCCACAAGGACGTGTCGTCCATGGACTGGCCAGCTTGCTGCCCTCCCCAAGGCTCCCATGGTGCTCACCACTAAGCAGGTAGTTCAGAAAAGAACATGGGCTGCAGGTGTTTGGGAGACAATAGGATCCCAAAGCAATTCACAACCATACGACAAACTGGACTTTTTTTTTTCTGTTGTTGCCTTTTCCACTTAAAGTTCTATAACTAGGCAAGTAGGTGGAGAAGTTGTCACCATTTTTTTTAACTCTTCTGCTCACTTGCCATCCATCTGTCAGTCCCTTTTGATGGCACTGGTCATCTCCATGGACAGCCCTCAGATCCTGAAGTCTGGTTGGAAGGCCTCAGAACTGTGGGCAGCTGTCAGAGGAGTGAAGGGCCTGTCAGCCAATACTTCTCCCCCTCATCCATCAGAGCCAGGGGGGCGGGTGCAGAAGCTGGAATGTAGGTTTGTTCGTCAACCAATGTTTCCTACAAACATAAATATGAAATCTTAGCCTTTGGAAGCTTTTTATAATGCAGAGATGTAAGATGAAAGCATGAGTTGGAGAGGTTCGTTTTGATGTCTTGAACAAGATTTCTCCTGACTTCTCTGCTTTTCTCGTTTGTTCGCAGTTCCTCAGCACTTTGTTTGCCCCCTTAAACTTTGTCATGGAGAAAGTGGAAAGCATCCTCCCATCCAGTCTATGGCACCAGCTGACTAGGATCTAGGGAAGCCCACCCGTTCTTCCACTCACCTCACCCAGTGGGCTGCCACCATCTCTTCGTGCCAACTCCTTGTGGACTGCAAGAAAGCATGACTTTGAAAAAGGGAAGCCATTCCGAGATTTTAAAACCTTCATGGACTGTCTGTTCCATATTAAAAGCTGTTTTTGTTGTACAAAATTCATTGATGTTCAGTTCTATTATATTTTGCTTTCAGAAAAGAAAAAAGTCAAAAATAAACTTTTGTGTATTGCAGCAACCAGTTGTGTCTTCCAGCCCTAAAGCTGTTGGTGTCCAAATAAACCTGCAGGTTACATTTAATTTACTAAGGCCCCAAATCTGCTCAGTGCAACACAATGGTTTTCTATGCTAATGGAACTCCTTTCACCAGGCCCTCGGCACCCCTACGGTTGGTAGCTTAGAAAATAGACTCTCTTTGGCTAAAAAGTACCATCTTTTTCAGCCCCAAACTGTATGTCCTCATAGGCTAAATGCACAAAAGAAATTTCCAGCATGAATGACAGGAAGCATGAATGAAACGAAATGTATGTGCCATCCCAGGTTGTTCCAATTCAGAGACTCTACTCACGGAATAGAACTCAGCACTGTGGTTCTAGGAATCATTTTACTTCTGCTTTCTGAAAACTTGTCGTGAGAAAAAAAGTTCTGATGAGAGCTACAGAGCCAATAGTCTATTGTAGGACCTGATCACTTTCAACATTGCCATTTTTTAAATGTTTTCTCATAAGGGTCATTTTTTTTTTTATCATGTTTTCATTCTTGATGCTTGCGTGTGAGCGTTCTCTGAGTGTTTCCATGATCTGAACCATAGTGGTCGTTTGTCTTCACCATCTTTGAAAGCCTTCTACATGAGTCACACCTGCCAAGCATCTCTTTTTTTTTCTTTCTTTAACATCTTTATTGGATTATAATTGCTTTACAATTGTGTGTTAGTTTCTGCTTTATAACAAAGTGAATCAGCTATACATATACATATATCCCTATATCTCCTCCCTCCTGCGTCTCCCTGCCACCCTCCCTATCCCACCACTCTAGGTGGTCACAAAGCACGGAGCTGATCTCCCTGTGCTATGCGGCTGCTTCCCACTAGCTATCTAATTTACATTTGGTAGTGTATATATTAGTCCATGCCACTCTCTCTCTTCGTTCCAACTTACCCTTCCCCCCACCCCGTGTCCTCAAGTGCATTCTCTACATCTGCGTCTTTATTCCTGTCCTGTCCCTAGGTTCTTTCATAACCATTTTTTTTGTTTTTTTTTTAGATTCCATATATTATGTGTTAGCATACGGTATTTGTTTTTCTCTTTCTGACGTACTTCACTCTGTATGACAGACTCTAGGTCCATCCATCTCACTACAAATAACTCAATTTCATTTCTTTTTATGGTTGAGTAATATTCCACTGTATATATGTGCCACGTCTTCTTTATCCATCCATCTGTCAATGGACACTTAGGTTGCTTCCATGTCTTGGCTATTGTAAATAGAGTTGTAATGAACATTGTGGTACATGACTCTTTGAATTATGGTTTTCTCAGGGTCTATGCCCAGTAGTGGGATTGCTGGGTCGTATGGTAGTTCTATTTTTAGTTTTTAAGGAACCTCCATACTGTTCTCCATAGTGGCTGTATCAACTTACATTCCCACCAACAGTGCAAGAGGGTTCCCTTTTCTCCACACCCTCTCCAGCATTTGCTGTGTGTAGATTTTTTGATGATGGCCATTCTGACTGGTGTGAGCTGATACCTCATTGTAGTTGTGATTTGCATTTCTCTAATGATTAGTGATGTTGAGCATTCTTTCATGTGTTTGTTGGCAATCTGTATATCTTCTTTGGAGAAATGTCTGTTTAGGTCTTCTGCCCATTTTTGGATTGGGGTGTTTGTTTTTTTGATATTGCGCTGCATGAGCTGCTTGTAAATTTTGGAGATTAATTCCTTGTCAGTTGCTTCATTTGCAAATATTTTCTCCCATTCTGAGGGTTGTCTTTTTGTCTAGTTATGGTTTCCTTTACTGTGCAAAAGCTTTTAAGTTTCATTAGGTCCCATTTGTTTAGTTTTGTTTTTATTTCCATTTCTCTAGGAGGTGGGTCAAAAGGATCTTGCTGTGATGTATATCATAGAGTGTTCTGCCTCTGTTTTCCTCTAAGAGTTTGATAGTGTCTGGCCTTACATTTAGTTCTTTAATCCGTTTTGAGTTTATTTTTGTGTATGGTGTTAGGGAGTGTTCTAATTTCCTTCTTTTACATGTGGCTGTCCAGTTTTCCCAGCACCACTTATTGAAAGGCTGTCTTTTCTCCATTGTATAATCTTGCCTCCTTTATCAAAAATAAGGTGACCATATGTGCGTGGGTTTATCTCTGGGCTTTCTGTCCTGTTCCATTGATCTATATTTCTGTTTTTGTGCCAGTACCATACTGTCTTGATGACTGTAGCTTTGTAGTATAGTCTGAAGCCTGGGAGCCTGATTCCTCCAGCTCTGTTTTTCTTTCTCAAGATTGCTTTGGCTATTTGGGGTCTTTTGTGTTTCCATACAAATTGTGAAATTTTTTGTTCTAATTCTGTGAAAAATGCCATTGATAGTTTGATAAGGATTGCATTGAACCTGTAGATTGCTTTGGGTAGTAGAGTCATTTTCACAATGTTGATTCTTCCAATCCAAGAACATGGTATATCTCTCCATCTGTTTGTATCATCTTTAATTTCTTTCATCAGTGACTTATAGTTTTCTGCATACAGGTCTTTTGTCTCCTTAGGTAGGTTTATTCCTAAGTATTTCATTCTTTTTGTTGCAGTGGTAAATGGGAGTGTTTCCTTAATTGCTCTTTCAGATTTTTCATCATTAGTGTATAGGAATGCAAGAGATTTCTGTGCATTAATTTTTTATCCTGATCCTTTACCAAGTTAATTGATTAGCTCTAGTAGTTTTCTGATAGCATCTTTAGGCTCCTCTATCTATAGTATCATGTCATCTGCAAACAGTGACAGCTTTACTTCTTCTTTTCCAATTTGGATTCCTTTTATTTCTTTTTCTTCTCTGATTGCTGTGGCTAAAACTTCTAAAACTATGTTGAATAATAGTGGTAAGAGTGGGCAACCTTGTGTTGTTCCTGATCTTAATGGAAATGGTTTCAGGTTTTCACCATTGAGAACCATGTTGGCTGTGGGTTTGTCATATATGGCCTTTATTATGTTGAGGTAAGTTCCGTCTGTGCCTACCTTCTGGAGGGTTTTTATCATAAATATGTGTTGAATTTTGTTGAAAGCTTTTTCTGCATCTGTTGAGATGATCATATGGTTTTTATCCTTCAGTTTGTTAATATGGTGTATCACATTGATTGATTTGCGTATATTGAAGAATCCTTGCATACCTGGGATAAACCCCACTTGATCATGGTGCATGATCAAGCATCTCTTTTTACTTAAGCAAAAGAGAAAAATAAATAACCTTGACTCCTCTATCTGAAGTGAAAAGTACCTCTATTCAAAATCTCAATGTGGTGCTGTGAAAAGAAAGGACTGTCCTTTACATGGCTTATTTTCCCTTTTGTTTAGAATCCTGAATCTTTCCCCATGAGCGTTGCAATAGGCAGCGTTCGGGAAAGCACCACACCACGTCCCCTTCGCAGCTGGACTTCCTGGCACCTCCTGGTCTTCATCGAAGAGCAGAGTCAAGCAGGCAGGTAAGGTTTAGGTGCACAAGGGCTTTTCGTGCTTTGGGCAAACTTTTCTCCCTACCTCCTTTGTGCAAAGCCATGGGGGACATGTGCAGTTGGCTGCTGCTCTTAGTAAACTATCTCAGAAGAGGTTGAACCCCTATATCCACATCTAGTGGTACTGCTCTTGGGAGCAGGGGCTGTGTCTGCTTTGCTTGCCTCTTTACCTCTTCGTCCCCCAGCACAACTCTTGACCTGGAGTGGATGCTCAAATGATGTGTTGAGCAAATTGATGCAGTACGTGATAGGTACGAATAAATTTTTATTCATGTTCAGAGTAGAGAGATTGGTTCCAGCAGAAAAGGACCAGGGAAGCCTTAGAATTGGAATTTGGAGCTGGAAGAAAAAGTAGTAATTATTTAATACAATTATTTGATTTAACAGATGGGGAAACCAAAGTCAAAAAAGATTTCGACCTGAGTTTGGACTAGATTGCGATAAGTCTTAAATGAAAGGTTCGAGAGCCCATAGGCAATGGTAGGTGGAGATGGCCCAGCATGAGTTGTTGTTGGAAACCCCAGTTGCAGGAAATGCAGCAAAGAAATGTAACACAAGGATTTAAAAGCACCTTGTGAATTTAGCAATGAGGACTAGAGCATTTCCACGGAGAGGGGAGGCAGAAGTTAGGCTTTGACGGGTACAGGGAGTGAATGGGAGCCGCGAAGGTGGAGAAAAGATGGTGACAGAATGAAGACACAAGGGGGGATAAGGGGCTGTTGGAGGGAATGAGTCCATGGTCCAGGAGAGGAGCTAATCACGTGAGCTAATTCCTTTCTTCCACCTCTCCCTTCAGCTGCTGTGCTCAACTCTGAGAGCAACCATGACTCACTCTTGCCATTCTGACCTCCCTGGGCCGGGATGCCAGGGAGGGTGCTGTCTTCCCAGCACCTGCCTTGCTTTGCTGCCCCTGAGCACAAGCATTCAGGTCTTTTTAAGGTTTTTTTGCAAACCTATGGAGAGGCAGAATGAGAGCAACCAGTACATCAGAGCAATTTTTAAGGTGATCGATTTTACACAGTTCTTACATTTCTTGCCTAAGGTCCAGAGTTCCTGACGTAATAAGATGGCAACTGGAATCCAAGTTGCATTTCTGCCTTCTGCTTTTATTTCTATATAAGGGGACATCGAAATCCATTCTGATGGGCTTTCCTCTATAAAGACACTTCCTCCCAGCCGGACCATAAGTGTCGCATAGCCTCACCTTACATGTGTTTGTTGGAATACAAATGTAAACATTGTAAATTAAATACTAGCAGATTGGATCTAGCAGTGTATACAAGAAGACACAATGTGACCAAATGGGAAGGTTGATTTTTTTTTAAACTTCTTTTGTCAGTACTTCAGTATAAAAGTCATTCTGTCTTTATACAAGAATTGGGGAGCTTTCGATATTTTTATATGGCCCAGAATAATTAAACACTGACATTACCTGCTCTTCAAGGATTAGGTAAAACTCAGACATGAAACATCTGATTTTAGTGCTTTGTTAATGGTAGGTCTTTGATCACCTTTTTACTATCTGCAATGGTGACTGGTCTGTGCAGATACTCTACTTCTTATGTTTAGCTGATTGCATGTTTTCTAGGAAATTACTGCTTTCTCTAGGCATCAAATGTGTTACCACAAAGTTACATGTGTATATCATTTATATTATATATTCAATCTCTCCTGTATTTGTGGTAATTTCTTTTCTCATTCCTAATTTTGTATATTTTTGCTATCTTTCTCTGTTTTTTCCCTCTTTAATCAGCTTCAGAAAGTTTACCTTAAAGTTTTGGATTTACTGATGCATTCTTTTTGTTTTGTATTTTATTATTTCTTCCTGGTTTCTCTTGTTTATAAGAACTATAATTTTCCTAATTCCCTTAGGTGAGTACTTGGTACATTTTTACATTCTTTTAAGAAGGAGGTATTTAAGGCTATGAATTTTCCTCTTCAAGTAGCTTTCTTGTTCCATAGATTTTGCTATTAAGCGTTCTCCACTGTTTTCTAGAAATTTATGTTTTAGTTTCTTTTTATCCAGGAGGGATCACTTTGGGGACATTTTCTAGGAATTGGTTCTCCATTGCTGCTTTCAAGGGATTTATTTTTAATGTTACTCTGCAGTATCTAATGAAAACATCAAAGATGTTCAACCACCTACCCCCAAATACAGTAAACCCTGACACCTCACACCCATGTACTAGTTCCAAGTAAACTTTTGATTCCTGTTTCCAACATTTTTTTTAAAATTACATCTTTCTTCAGTGTGAACCTTCAGGGTGATGTTAAAATGTCTAAACCATGTTTATGTCACTTCCACTGTTCTGTTGTTCTCATTCTCCCCTCCCCATGGCCATGCTCTTCACCAAACAAAGACGAGTTCACATCACATATTTGGCTTCTACTCTGCTATGGTGACAGCTCGGGCTGTATCAGGAATTGAAATATAAAAGGAGGTGGCAGGGGCTAGACAGGGGCTTGAAGGAGCTAGTCTTGAAGTTCTGGCTTTTGAAGGTCAAGAATGGCTGAGGCCAAACAGGCATTGACTGAAATGGGAATGTCCAAGCAGAGGTGGACTGGGCCTCTATCAGGAATGCTCTGGAGAGCACAAGGGACGGAAGACCTGCAGTTGATAAATGTGTCTCCTTCAGAATAATAGCTATGATTCTCCAGCAGGAGCAAAGAGCAGAAGGGAAGCAGGTTCTCTTCCCCTCTTTCTCCAGCTTGTCTCCTATTACATCCAGCTCCAGTCCATTTCATAGTCCCTTGGATCCTCAGCCTTGAAGCTGAGGAAGAATAACTTGGAAGAAAAACTTAGGAAGAAAAACTCTGGAGTCGAACACCTCAATTGACTGTCACCAAAAGGCAAGCAAACTTCAAAGTGGGTCTGTGTTTGTCCAGGGAGGGGGTGGTAGGTTACAATTTTAGAGGGAATCTAAGTATGTCCATGAAGTCTGGTGGCTCTCGGCTTCTGTGCACACGGGCTGTAGGACCTGACGCCCCTCCCCGCTTCAGGCTCCCCACATGAGTCTCACTGCCCCCTTTCTGAGGTCTGGGTGCTGCGTGCAGGCCCACAGGCCACCCCTTGGTGCCTCTCAGCTTCTCCACTGTCCCTCAGGTCACCCAGAACAGTCTCTGCAGTGGCAGCACGTCCTGCCAAACACAGGGCAGTTTCAGCTGATTTCCCGATAGTTTTCTGGGGCAAAGAACTACAAAATCTGGACTGCTGCTTGAAATGACAGAAGGGAGAATGCAGGGAGAAAATATGAATTAACATCCGAAAGATAGCCTGCCCCTCAAATCAAAGACAACCTTCACGTCCAGTATAAATTAGACTCATTTGTTGTCTCCGTCCTTTAAGTAGTTAAAATGTATTGAGGACCTACTGTTGCTGGGGACAGAATCATGCTATCCCCACTGCACCTTGAACTGTAGCATTTATCACACGGCATTATTTGTACATTTACTTGCCTGTCTCACCCACTGGACCACAGGGAACTCAAGTTCTATATTATGGCATTTGTCTTCACACCCTCAGGATCTGGAACTGGCTGTTCTATATTCTAGAATATAAAAGCTTAATAAATGTTGGCAGGAAGGTAGGACAGACAGGGTAGAGGAGAGAGTGATGCTAAATAAGAAGTGAGCCTCCTTTTATAGAACTCCAGGAAAAAAGAAAATGAAATAAAATGTATTAATTCCATTCTTAGAACAGCAGCTTAATGAGGAGCTTTTGCAAAAACTTTGCCCACTTATCATTTTCTTTGGGATGTGTTCTCTCTTCTTACCCCGTGTTCCCTGAATGATCATTTTTCGTGTTTGTGGTATGTCAGATACCACGCCGGGTCCTTGATGTGCAGGGCCTCTTTGGGTTCTCCAAACCACTGTGTGAGGTGGGTGCTCGTGTCCTCCCACTGAGCAACTGCTGAATCAAGGATCTGGGTTTGGGCCTGAGCACTGGGCCACTGGCCTTGGTGCTGTGTGGCCACAGGGTGCTTGCTCACCTGCCTCTGACTGCCTGCCACCTGGTCTCTCCAGCTCGAGGGAGAGTACCCATCAGCTGACCTTTAGGCCCAGGGAAAAGTGCAGCGGGGAGCACCGCCTCTCAAACACGCCGGAAAGAGGCAGATGCTGGGCAGATCTCCAAAGACAAGGCGGCCTTCATGTTTTTCTTCACATTCCAGCCATGTGTGGTGTGATGGGAGTCAGGGAACAAGTGTTCCCAGAGTGGATGATATGAGCCTAAAAACAAGCAGAATACTGTGTGTGGACTTGAAACAGGAAGAGGAACCCTGTAGCGAGCACAGACCACTGTTTCCCACAGTGGATTCTGAGAAGCCTTAAGTCTGGTGAAATGCTTTTTTGGAACACATCACGACAGTTACCGTTCTCCTGGAAACTCACAATGTCATAAGCCCTGAGAAGTCCCATGAAAAAGAAATCTGTTTAACCCAGCACTTCTCCTCATGAGATCATAGGTCACCATCTTCTTTCATGAAGAATACTCTACACATCTCACCGTATTCATTTTGGAAAACACTGGACAAGATCAGTGCTGAATCAGAAGGAGGATCCCACAAACAAGGCATGTGGTCCTCTGGGCATTCCATCCATACTGACCAGGTGGAGACCCACTAGACAGAATTCGGGGGCAATGCAGGCTGGTGCAGCTGTGAACCCCTGCCATGCTCCCTAACTGGCATCAGGTGCTCTGTGTATCCTCCTGAGTCCCCTTGGTGCTGGCCATGAATGTTGGCCATGGACCCCCAGGAGGGTCCTGGGGCCTTTTAACTGTCTATCGATATCGACACAGCTAAACAGAGGGGAGAGATTAAGGATTGGGACAGCTGTCGTAATTCATGTGCTCTGTTTTCTCTCCAGCTATCCAAGAAAACCCCTGAGAGAGCCTGTTAAGAACTGGTTTTTTGGCCGTGGTGGCCAGTCAGTAACTGTCGCTCTCCTGGGGTTCCCACCAAGTGGGGTGT